GAGGTTGATGCCTTCCTTTGTCACTCCATTTATTTATTCATTCATTTATTTATTGAGACAGGATTTCTTACAAAACCTAGAACAATTTTACATAACTTGCAAAGTTTTCTGTTATTTTTGTGGTGCTAAGGCACAAACACTGGGCCATTCATGCTCTCACCATGATATATCCGATTTTTTAAAATTTATTTTTATTACATATACAGTGTTCTGTCTGCATGTATCCCCAAATGCCAGAAGAGGGCACCATGATAGATGGCTGTGAGACACCATGTGGTTGCTGGGAATTGAACTCAGGACCTCTGGAAGAGCAGTCAGTGTTCTTAATCTCTGAGCCATCTCTCCAACCCCTCTAATTTTTATTTTTTATTTTCCAGATAAGGTCTTACTAAGATGGCCTTAAACTCACTCTACAGCACAAAAAGACCTTGAATTTGCAATTCTCCTGCCTCAGTCTCCCAACCTCATTAATTAAAACATTTAAAAAGCACACAATAATTCATAACACTCAATTATTGGTCCTGTCTATTTTACTGTGGTTTTTATTTTCCCTTTATGGGAAATAAATTTCTCCTTTAAGGGACTTATCTACCACTAAGCTGTGAAAGAAAGCACTTTATTTTTAGGGTCAAACTGTAAGCAATGCCCATGCTGAGTGTTGTAGTTAATGCACCAATTTAAAAGTTAAATCTGTAGCTTCTCTGAAGATCTGCAGCATTCTAAAATTTGATCAACACATTTATATCTATAATTCTGAATTGCTTACTTCTAAAAAGCTACCTCAAATTTAAAATGTAATATAAGGTCACATAGGCTATAATAATCTCACAAATTTTACTGGGCATGCACTTGAGAGTCAAAACCATACAAATATAAAGAAAATGCGCAAGAGTTTGGGCATGTACTTAAAATGTCTATGTGTACTGGTACAGAACTAAGGATGCTTGTTTAATGAGCACAGCATGATAAAGTCATGCTACTTCATCTTTCATGACTTCATGGACCTTTGCAAATCTGTCCTTTCTCTGGTGTCAGACATGAGTGAGCAGGAGAAGCTCTACTTGAATGGGGTGGAGACAGCAACAAAGGTAAAAATGAGATGGAGGATGCCCAAAAGAAGGAGCCACTAGCCTGGGGGGTGGGGTGGAGGTGCTACAACTTCACATCTTCCCTGCTCTAAACTTTTCTGGGTGGTTAGGTAGGAATATCCTTCTTATGCAAGACTGGGACCCTGAAGTCCAAGACCCTTTTACTCAGCCTACTGAGGGCAGGTCTAGGGACACAGCTGGATCCAGGCAACCAAGAGGCCTATATAGAAACCTACAGATAAAAGGAGGGAGCTTGGGGAAGAAGTCATGGCAACTAGCATGTCATGAGACAGGGATATCTGTTAGTTCATGAAGACTTTTCTGCTACACTCAGATACCCTGAGACCGAGACAGGAATGGGCCAGCCTGGTCAAAACCAACCTGTTTTCTTGCTAAGTATCTGGCGGGCTCCCTCTTGCCATGAACATTTCTGAAAACACCTGTGCACATCTACTCCTTTCCCCTCTCCCACAGTTTCCAGTCCTGGAAACTGGAGGAACCTAAGGCTGCCTTAAAGACCTTGGCTCTACTCCAAGCCCTTTGAGAACAGAAAGGATGAGCCAGGAGTGCTGTGATCTGGTTTATACTCCAACAGGATCATTCTAGTTTCCAACCGGAATCTGAGGACAAAGACAAGACACTACAGCTTTAACCTAGGTAAGAAATGCTGGTGGTCTCAAATAGTAGTAGGCCACAGCCAGCTACTTGTTGTCCTTCAGACAACAAAACAGAAACAGACAATAATGGACAGTACAAGAAAGACAAAACAGGCAGAAACAAAGAACCACAGTTAAGAGGGATAAATATAGACACTAGGAAAGAAAGAGAAGAAACCCATAGACAGAGGCTGACATCAGGCAGTAAGAAACAGTGAGGGAGAGACAGAGGGAGGAAGAGAGAAAGAGAAAGTGGAGAAGGGGTATCTAACACAGGTTATCTTATTTAAGCAGTCACACGATTAATGAATGGTAAAGGAACTTTTTAAAAATTAAAATTAGCCAGGCATGGTAGGGAGGCATAGGCAGGAGGATCTCAGTGATTTCAAGGTTGGCCTAGCCTACATGAGCAAGTTACAGGCCAGCTGGAAGAATGTCACAAAACAACAACAAAAATCCAGCAATTAGTTATTATAAAGCAGTGGGTTTCACTATATTTTTATACAAGCTCCCGGGTCTTGCTTGGTAGCTTCTGGCTGACCCAATATTAGCAATGTAGTCCAGGCTGGCTTCGAACCTGCAACAAACATTGTTGTGCTGGAATTACTAGCATGTGTCACCATGCTTGGCTTCCTTTTACTTTCATGTCCTTTTTCTTCCCATTCTAAATTCTATACATGAGAAGATATATGCAATACTTGTCTCTGTGAATCTGAATTATTTTTCCATACATAATAAGCTCCTGGTTACATCTATTTTTTCTTTTTACATATGTCTACAAGCCCACATGTGGAGGCCAGAGGACAACCTCAACTGTCACCTTCAGGAATGATATCTGCCTCTTGAGACAGGGCCTTTCATTGGCCTGGTGCTCACCAATTGGGCTAGGCTGGTTGGCCAGCAAGTTCCAGGAATCTTCCTATCTCTGTATCCCCATCACTGAGATTACAAGCTAAGTACCATGCCAATTTTACACAGGTTTTTAAAAACCAAACTCTGGTACCCAAGCTTGTGAAACAAGCATTTTACCCACTGAGCTATCTTACCAGACCAATTTCTTTCTTCTTTTTAAAAAGACAAGCAAACAAAGTTTACTGAGAAGAAGAGAAACAGTTCCCTGAAACAGGACAGGTACTTAAAAAGAGTTGCCTAATGTCTTCTTTATGGCAGAAACAAGGACACAGCAGAAAAGAATCCTTATACATTGTCGATGGGGATGTAAATTAGTTCAACCAATATGGAAATCAGTTTGGAGTTCGTCAGAAAAACTAAGAATAGAGTTACTATATGATTTTACTGTAATACTCCTAGATACACAGCACAAGGAATTAAATGCAACACAATGCAGATACTTGCACATCAACATTTATCATGGCACTAATTCACAAGAGCAAAGTTATGAATTAACCTGGATACCTATCAACAGATGACTGGATAAAGAAAACACGGTGTATACATACATAGTAGAAATAGAATTTAATTGACCCATAGACACGTTAAAAAATGGGTCAGTGTTAGTATCAGTATCTAAAATTACAAACAAAATGAGTTAAAAAAAGAAAAAAAAGAAAAAAAGACATTCTTTTTAAAAACAAAGCTCCTATTTTTGTTTGTTTCAGACAAGGATGAATGTGGCTCAACCTGGCCTTTATTTCATTGTGTAGCAGAGGATAGTCCTGAACTCCTGATCCCCCTGCCTCTATCCCCCAAATGCTGGAGTTACAGGACAAAGTTCCTATTGGAAAGATCTATTTCTCTGGTACATGGAGTCTGTTCCTATAGTAATAATCTTCTAGTATACTGAAGAATTAGATGAAATAAGGGGCAGCCTTTCACCACAGAGACAAAAGCTGTCATGTGCATGCTTGGACCGTAAAATCAGCTGATTTTTTTCTAATCTTAAATTTGTATGTACCAAGGCTGGGCATGGTGGTCCCACCTTTACTCTTAGCACTCTGGAGGTAAATGGCTGCTCAACATCAAGAGGGTGCTGGGAACTGAACCCAGGTCTTCGGTAAGAGCATTAAATGCTCTTAACCACAGGGCCATCTCTCCAGCCACCTAAAGCACAATTTAATCAAGAGTAAAAAGAAGTTTTTCAAGCTAGTGGAGTAGAGAGCTAAAAATGCCTACTGTTCTTTAAGTTCAAAAATGTTTTCTGAGAATGTTAGTGTTGGAAAAAATTCTACTCTCTAATACTCTTTAGCTGGGGGCAGGTTTGAGACACTCATTGGGGGCTTTCTTTTCCACTGAGTACTGCCTGTTTCTGTATCTAAATGTTCTGTATCTAAAATGATCTTCAACAATTCAATCCACTCTGCACTCTTTTGACAACTTTCCTCTTGGGTCCAGTTTGTCAAATTTGTCACTGGCACTGCTATGAACAGTACCCAGATAGAGCAGGAGAAAACATGGAACTGTCACCTGCATCCACACAACAGGGCTTATGAAGTATGACTTAGGGGAAATGTCAGCTTCTCCCTTCTGGCTTACAGACCCCACAGGTGTGGCTCCCTAAACATCTCAGCCTGGTGCTCCACACAGGGTCTGCACTCTAGTCACAGAGGACATGCACTCACACTCAGGGCAGATGCCACCAGATCTTATGTGAGATCTCAGTGAACCTTCACAACCATCTGTGCAATATAAATAGGACTCTACTTCCAAACAAACTAGAATGCTTCTCCCTGAACTTCACATTTAAACTTTACACATGAACAAATGGTAACTAAACAGAATAGCTGAATTATTCAGATTAGCTGAACAGGAATTCCAGTATCCTCCACTAAATCTTTAATGGAGCCTACTTCAACAGTTGAACAATGAGAAGAAAGTGTGGCCTTACAGATAAGAGTGTGTCCACCTTATCTACAACTTCCTGAAGGAGGTACTAATATGTCCCAAAGTGAACAAAAGCAGAGTGCAGGATGAGGTGAAAATCCAGTACCCCAGGAAACTGACAAAACAACTCTGGACTGTTCACTTCATTTAGAAGGACACTTTATGAAAGTTTTTGTTTTATGAAGTAGATACTGTTAATATTCAAGAATGTGTCTGACAGAACATGCCTGTAATCCTAATACCAGAGAGGCTTGGGTAAGAGGGTCAGGAGTCAAGGCCAGCCTGGATATACAAGCAAGACCTAGTCTTTAAAAAATGAAAAGAAAGCATCAAAGCCCAAACCAAAAGCACAGAAAGGACAATACTGAAAATTGAGGCTACCTATTTCAATGTCTATATTAGTGTTTGTACCTACCTCCTTTGCACTCTTAATTTTGGTCAGAAACGTATACAGTTCCATGGTTTCTGCAAACAATGCTCGACATACTGCCTGATAATGATTTGGTGCCTCCGACTCAGCTGGGAGATGAGCAGCACATATCTACGGTAGAAAAAAAAAAAAAAAAATGGAATAATGGAATTGGGCTATTACTGGCATTTTAGGTACCATTAAAACAGACACGCCCAGGCTACCTATGTTTTTTCTTTTAAATGATGACAAGTCCCTTCATCCGAGGTTTAATGTACCACAGGACCATGGAAGTTCACATGATCATAGAGAGAAAATGGTTTAACTAAACGACACCTAATAGCAAAGATAAGCTGACTAGAATCAACTCCTATTGGAGAGTGACAGAATATGTGGCAAAGTTTATCCTGAGAGTAAATACTGAGGATAACTCAGGTATTTTAACAGTGTCGAATTTAGTTTCAGCTGCCATCCTAACAGAAGTCTAACCTGGAAAAAGGTAACCTCAACTGAAGAATTGACTTAATCAGATTGGCCTATGGCCAAGTCTTTTAAAGACAGGGTTTCTCTATATAATAGCCCTAGCTGACCTGGAACTCACTCTGTAGATCAGGCTGGCCTCACACTCACAGAGATCCACCTGCCTCTGCCTCCCAAATACTAGAATTAAAGTTGTGCACCACCAAATCTTAATTGCTGATTGACTAGGAGGGCTTAGTCTACAGTAGGTGGTGCCATCCTTTAGGCAGGTGGGTCTGGATTGTATAAGAAAGCTAGCTAAGCAAGCCAGAGGGGGCAAGCCAGTAAGCAACATTTCTCAATGGTTTCTGCCTCAAGTTATTGCCCAGACTTCCTTCAAAAATGGGACTGTACCCTATGAAATGAAACAAATCCTTTCCTTTCCAAGTTGCATTTGGCCATAGCATTTGTCACAGCAACAGAGGAAGCAGACTAAGACAACCAACTACCGTTTTCTGAGCATTTATCATGTTAGATACATGTTTGACATGTCATATATATAGCACAGTACCATGCACTCTCCAATATAATCCTGAATCATCCTCATTTGTTTTGTTTTTAACCATAAGGAGAATCTAAGCACACTTCTACTGGGTTCTGAAACCCACACTTGACCCCATGTGAAGCCTGGGGAAGTGGGAATGGAGAGTGGGAGAGGAGGGCAAGGAGCGGTCAGCCGAGCACTTGGGTGCTGTCTATGGTCCTCAGGTCCCAAAAGAGATGCAACTTAACACGATGCAAAGTGATTTAGGAACAAATGCATAACAGATTCTTATTACACTGCAGCGAGATCCTAAGAGTCCAAAGAATAATGTTATCATTCTATAAATAATGATTGTATATCCATGTTCATAGTCACATTTTAAAGCACTTCATTTGCAATAAAAAAGCTTTACCTTCTCTTAATAAATTAGACATTAATATAATTGTTGGAAAGAAATCTGAAATATTTTAACAATTTCTAGAAAGAATAAAGAGAGCTGGGTAAGGTGAGTCCACACTGCTAGGTAGGCAGAAACAGGGACACTGGGAATCCATGGTTATCCCCCATGATACAGAGGGTTCAGGCCTGCCTGGGCTCCACAAAATACTGTTTTATCAAAAGTGTCAACAAAGTCCAAGCAGTGTTGGCGCATACCTTTAATCCCAGCACTCCAGAGTCAGAGGCAGGTGGATCTCTGAGTTTCAGGTCAGCCTGGTCTATATAATGAGTTCCAGGCTAGCCAAAGCTACATAATGAGACCCTGCCTCAAAACAAACAAACAAAAATATCGAAAGTCAAAAGAATAAAAGGTGTTCAATGGTAGCTGTTCTGCTTTTCATATTTCTTAGCTTTTTTTCTCTTCCCTCCCTCCCTCCCTCTCTTCTTTCTTTCCCACACAGAAGTATTATGTGTTACTTGTTTGTGGTAACAAAGTGGCAAGAAAAACAAAGGAACAAGGATTAATTCAGACTCCTGGCTTCATAGGTTTTAGCCCAAGGTCTCTTGGCTCTCTTGTTCTGGGCCCTTGTGGCTATATCATGGTGGACAGGCGGCATAGAGAGGAATGGGCAGGGGAGAATACCCTTCAAAAGCACTCCACAAATGCCTACTTCCTCCAACAATCCAACTATGATCTCACCAGAATTCTAAACAACTGATGAAGATCACCATAACTCAATAGCACCTATTTAAAATGTGCTATCCCTACTCAAATTCAAAACTATTTCCTTAACATTCTTTTTTTTTTCTTTCTGGAGATGAGGATCAAACCCAGTGCATGTGCTCGGACAGGCAAGCGCTCCACTCCTGAGCGAAATCCCCAATCCTAGGATGTATTTTCTAAGACAGGAATTCAATATCAAATTGTGTAAGATGTTCATCACAAGCAAACCAACAAAAACACATTCTCAAAGACTACTATAAACCTGGATGCTCTGGAGGAGGAACAAGGGTTCTTCATCATGGATCACCTCTCGAGGCCAGAAAGGGTATTCTTTATTTAAGGGAAGCACACGTCTAAATCTGTGTATGCAATGTATGTGGCTTTAGAATCAGCAGCAAAGAGCCCCAGAAAGAGTCAAAAAAATAATTACAAATGTGTGTTTATGCTTAACCTATGTATATTCTCTTCCCACTAAAATCAAGAGGCATGGATAAAATATAAAGTTTGTATTTGTTATACATTCAAGAGATCGTGATCACTAAAATGACACAAATTTTTATATCCTATAAACCCTATCATTTGTAATAGTTTCATGTTTTTGTAGCAGGAATTCTAACTGGTATTAATAGTAACAACTCAGAGTCAGCTATTGGGGTAAAAGCTGGGGGAATCAGAGAAGCAGAGCAGCCAGCCACTAGAGTTCTTACCTCTACCAATACTTGACCCATTTGGGCAATCCTGCCCTCTCAGACTCCATCCTCTCCTGTCTCCTGTCTTACATTCCTCTCTCTGTCCAGCCATATTCCTTCCTGTCTCCACCTCATTAGTGCTGGGATTAAATGTGTGAGCCATCTGTGTATCCCTTCCTCCTCTATTCTTTGTGTGGCCCCTACAAAGCACACACGGTCAAGCCTGTAGTCACCGACAGAACATAAATTTTGCTTTTTATGCAATACCTTCGTCTACCCTTCACATTTTACATTACTGTTTATCACAGAATTAGAAGGTCAGTTTTGACCTGCCAACTCCCAAATATATTTGTTTTAATTTTTTAAAATGATTTTTTGGTTTTTGGTACAGGGTTTCTCTGTGTAATATAACTCTGGTTGTCCTGGAACTAGCTTTGTAGACCAGGCTGGCCTTGAACTCACTGAGATCTGCCTGCCTCTGACTCCCAAGTGCTGGGATTAAAGGCATGTACTACCACCGCCCTGCTAGATATTTCTTAAGATTGTTTTGTTGTTGACTACCCTGCATGCACTAATGGGGTTCGGCATGATACTTCCACACAGGCAGATGACCTGTTGTGCCTAACCTCTACTAACCCCTAGATTTATATTCAGATCAGTTCTGTTTCCCTTTTACATGAGAGGAACAAGGTATTTCTTTTTATATATAACTTATTTCACTTAGTATATTATAGTTCCATGTCTATTTTTAAAATAAATGTTAACATCTAGAATATCTAATATGAATAAAATTTGTGGAAGGATAACATTGGTGGTTCACAACAGTTTGTAACTCCAGTTCCAAGGCACCTGTCATCCTTTGCTGGCTTCCTTCTTGGGCATCTTTCTCTCTTTAAAAAAAAAAAAAAAAAAAAAAAAAAAAAAAAGCTGGGCCATGGTGGGCACACCTTTAATCCTGGCACTTGGGAATCAGAGCATGTGGATCTTTGTGAGTTCCAGAACAACCAGGACTATACAAAGAAAACCTGTCTTGGAAAACAACAACAAAACTAGTAAAGATTCTATCTTAAAGACTAATTAGTCAAATCTGTCTTAGTTTTCATCTCTATATATTTAGCCTTCAGGTAGGCAGTAAAACTGAAAACAAAAGAACAAAAACCTTTAGTCTTATCACTGTCTACAAATCCTACGGGAAGGCCAAAATCAAAACTCAAATAACAATCAGCTGTGGCGGGGCAGCTCACAGCTGCCATCCATTCCACAGAAAGGAAAGGCAGAAGCCAGTGCACAGTATCATGCCCAATCAGACTGCAGTGACAGGAAGACAATCAACACCATCACATCTACAAGTGGTCCAGCGCTGACTCAGCACAAGGCCTAGACAGTCTGAACTGTTCTCAAATGCCGAGTCACTATGCCACTCTTTTACCATGAGATAATGACTCACAGAAAGACAACACTACATGAACTATGGCTTTACCTTCATGACATCTTGATAGGACCGAATAGCTGAGATGTTTCTCTTTCCTCCATCTTCATCTTCTGGGCCTTCATCTGCAGCCTCGTATCCCTCATCGTTGTTGCTGTCAGCCTCCGAGGTGTTGGCCATTTGGTCGATGAGCTGCTCTAGAGGAGGGCTCAGCTCCCTTTCTTCATTTTCCTTCAAGCCATAGTCCAATGCTTTATAGATAATAATTCCCAGGGATTCAATGACCTAGGAGCATCAAAGAAGGTGGTAAATGGAGGTGACTGAAGACTAAGGACTAACTAAGGTATAAAATGTTCAGTATTTCAGACATAACTAATATTTGAGGAGAAATTTAAAAATTCTTACCCAGACATATATTTTTAAAAAAATTGAAAACAGCAATTTTTGTGTGATTATAATTTATCCACAAATCCTTTTTATACTTCCTCAAATTTATACCAGATGTTAAGATCAGTATTTCCCATTCATACAAAAAAAAACAAAAACCCTGATTAAGCTGACTTGCTATATTTTTAAAAAGTTTATGTCAATGTTTAGAAACTTCACAGATCCAAAGTAGCTGAGACTGAAAATTCAGTTCTAAGTAGCAATTCACTTAAGCCCAAATAACAAGAAATCTCTTCATATCAATATACAGACTGTTCACTGAGTTCCACTCATTGGAAACACATCCCTCTCAGATGATACAAATGGGAGACTTACTTATTTTAAACTCAGAGCTTGCAATGATGGACACAGATAACCCTCCCTCCCTCCCAACCACCCACCTCCATCAACAATACTTCGAGGCAATGTGAACCTGACTTGTGAGTGGCAGACCCATTGCTGATAAACAGCACCCTGACAAGTGTCCGGATGTAGCCAGTATGGAGAATTCTAGATTATTCTTCAATACTGCCTTTCTCAGTTATTTAGCAAAATCATAAATATAGTGCCTTTATTTTACTTTATAATACTAATAGCACTATTGATTTCATCTTAGATCCTTTTCCTTTAAAAGAAAATAATAGAGTCAATGACATCAAAAATTTAGAATTAAAAATACTGACCCTTATCACTAGTCATCTGGCTTAAGGAAAATTATTTTAGGTGATTTTTCTGTAAAATGGATACATTTACATTTCATGAGATCTTGAAGACATTAAATGCATGATTAAGTAGGAAAGGAGAGTACCTGAATTAGTAAGTGTAATCTGTTCTGCCTCCTTCCCCTACATTCACTTGTTTCCAATGTTTACCTAGTTACCAACCTCAAAATTGCAAAGAAACTTAATTTCCTTTATTCTACTTGTAGTTATTCAATGATGTGATTTTTAAAGAATAATCTATGCAGCATTTTTTAACCTGAGTTGTAAGAAGTTAAACACAATAGCATCAATGTCATCATATACAATACCCTGTAAAAGCATTCACTCAATTACTCAACAAACTCTACAAAATCTGAAAAGTATATTACCAGAGGAAATAATTCAAGAATTTAAAATGAATATAATATTATTTAAAATTGTTATTTTTTTAAAGATTTATTTTATGTATATGAGTGCTCTATTGACTTTATACCAGAAGAGGGCATCACATTCTATTACAAATAGTTGTGAGTTCAGTCATGTGGTTGCTGGGAACTGAACTCAGGACCTCTGGAAGAGCAGCCAGTGCTCTTAACAGCTGAGCCATCTCTCCTGCCCCATTACTTAAAATTCTTAACCTCTAATTTTGAAGCAATGAAACTACTTTTTAAAAAAATACTTGTGTCAGATGGCAGATTAGAAGCTGCCTCTGTGTAAGCTGATGAAGGGAGAAGAGTCAAGACAAGGCAGAACGGATTGCTCCGAAGAGAGCGCGCAGATAAGCAGATAAGCATCAGGAATACGCCCCTGGAAGACTGGGCCAGCAGAAACTGGAGAGACAGAATGATGTGGGCAGAAGCATATGGAAGGGAGATTTGGAAAGTTCTGCCCATTTGCAGAAGCCCTGGGAGCAACTGCCATTTAGTGCAGGGTCTGTCCACTGACACCAAATGCTAGAATGCATGGTACCAACACAGGGAATTGGGGCCTAGGGAGCCAGAAAAAGACAGAATTGTCTGAGAAGGGCCAGAAACTAGTAGTTACAGGTGCTGGCTGCAAGGCCATGGAATGCGGCAGCCTAAGGCTGAGTCTTCCTCTTCTATCATCCCAGAGTGACTTACCTGAAGGGAAAAGCCTGTTCTACCCACACCAAAGCAAGTGACAACCTGGGAGTACAATCGCCAGAAGTAAGCCAAAGTGAAAACACCCCACAAAGACAGACAGCCTCAGCAAAGACAATGGGAGCCAGAAGCACCCAGAGGCAAAACAAGTACTAGCCATCTACTGTCCCTACTTTCTTAGAGACATGGACACTGGAGCTCATATATCCAGAAAAGTGTGAACCTGGCAAACCATAGAGAAGTGGTAGCTGGTAGCTGGTGGACAGAGACTAAATGAACCATCCCAAGCTCCAAATGACACAAATTCTTGGCAGGAAGGACATCCTGATCCAGGTTGCTCAGCAAACACCAAGGAGGATAAATGCAAAAACAAACAAGCATAGAAACAAACAAAAATTGAATTTAGACATGCCAGTTGGGGGGGGGGGCGACCAGACATCTTACTAATAAGGTAAGGGAATGAAGGGCATGGGACTCTCAGAAACGTGAAGGACTTCAGGAAAAACAGTCTTGCAGACTGACTGATCACTGCAGTACTGTAGGAAGATTGAAATGTCATACAGGTCCAGATGCTAGTTACCTTATCTTGGGTTAACATTAGCCCCCGGATAGTTCACCTTATCCATACCTGTGTGTCTGCACTAACATCCTATGAGTTAGTAGACTAAAAACCCTTGGAATCTACTGACTTAGCAGACCCACTGGCTTCCACCAACCCAAAAGCTAAGAATGTCATCAGATAGCCTCTGAGGCCTATAGAAAAGATTCCCTCATCTTGCTGTACCTGCTTCTCTGATGTCCCCTCCAATATTCTGTAAAACCTCATGAAACTTCCTTTGGCTCCTGGGCCATTGTCACTCAAAATAGCTCTAGAATACACTATATCTTATTCTCTTTAGGGTAGGAGCTATGTTTTGTTTTTTTGTTTGTTTGTTTTTTTTGCATCAACATAAAACATTCAACCAGATGGAAACAAAATATTCAGTGCCTAGAGGGAAACAACAACAAAACCAACCAACCTGGACTTGTACTCTATAAGGCGAAGGAGACTTTCTCAGAACCCTTACTTAATACAACGTCCTAGGTGCCATCACCAGCCTGGGGAGTGGGGGATAATTCTTTAGAAAGAAAATGAGTCAGAAACTCAGATCTCTATAAAAGGAAAACCACTGAAGAAAGAATAAATTAGGGCCAAGTAAAAACTTTTCTTCTGACTATTAACAGGTGACAGTTTAAAACAATAACAGCCAGGCGGTGGTGGCGCATGCCTTTGATCCCAGCACTGGGGAAGCAGAGGCAGGCGGATCTCTGTGAGTTCAAGACTAGCCTGGTCTACAAGAGCTAGTTCCAGGACAGCCTCCAAAACCACAGAGAAACCCTGTCTTGATAAACCAAGAAAAAGAGAGAGAGAGAGAGAGAGAGAGAGAGAGAGAGACAGACAGACAGACAGACAGACAGGAAAGAGAAAGGTTGAAAAAAATAGAAAACAAATGTGGTAGATGTTAATACAACTTTATCAGCAATAATTTTGGGCATCAATAGTCTACATGCTTCAAATACAAGTCTAAAAGTGAACTAAAAACAGGTATATTGTCTAAACAAACAAACAAAAACCTTAAAGGAATGGAGACAAATAAACTAAGATAACACTAATCTAGTAAGAACAGGACTACTCCATGACACTGCCTTCTGAATCTCTGGCTCACTCAAAGATTATGAATTGTTATGGTGACACATCTTAATTCTCCAACAAGACTAAGATCATTAAAAGCAAAAATGCCACTATACTTCATAAGTTCAAATTGTTTTAAGTCAATGAACAAGTCAGTAAAACATAAATTCCTTCTCACATATGTAAGGTTCCAAGTTTAGATATGTGATGGGAGATGCCATTATGTATATATGTTTCTCATACTGGTTAATAATAAAGCACTGTTGGCCAATAGGAAAGGAAGATAGGAGGGACTAGGAGACAAGGAGGAAATAGGAAGGAGTAAGGAGGAGCCAAGATAGTCTGGAGAAAGCAGTATGCCGCCGGCTCCCCGGTAAGAGAAATACATAGGTCAACAGAAATGGGTTAATAATTAAGGCAGAGCTAGCCGATAAGAAACAAGTAACCGGGCCAACAACATTGTATCAAATACAGAGTCTCTGTGTATTATTTGGGGCTGGCTGTAGCAGGACAATACCAGTACGGAAAAACCGTACTCATTACAGATATGGATCTTTTGGTCATAGGTAGGATTACCTGTCATTTCAATCTCTGCCCTCTCAAATGAATACCACACTGGTGGTCCAACCTAATTGACTCTGAAACATCCTGGAGTTCTCCTACCCAAAATTAAAGAGCATCTGGTCCATTTAAACATCCCAGAACTGTTCGTCTTAAGCCTGACTTCACCCTGAATCACAGGTAGTTAGCTGTAAATGAAGCCAGCCTCTTATAGATGAAGGGATAACAACACAGCTAGGCTTCATTAGACTGGCATGCACACCAGATGTCTCTTCCCTTCGATGGGAATGAAGGAACCTCAAGAAGTATGTAAGTAGTTCTTAGTCTTGAGCTCAGGACAAGAGGTGACCACCAAAAAACTACTAAAAATTTAAGTGTATTTAGACACATATCTGAACATAGCAGCTCCCACAGACAACTACTTAAAATTAACTTTAGAACATTGGCCAAATCACATGGAAACATTTTTAAAGGCTGGAGGAGCTGGTGGCTAAGAGTATATACTACTGCTCTTCAGTGGGCCTGAGTTTGATTCTTGGCACACTCACAACCACCTGTAACTCTGACTCCATGTGGACTCTATGGCTCTGGTCTCCACAGGCATAAGCACTTATGTGTACATACCCCCCCCCCACACACAATTAAAACTAAAATAAATATTCAAAACTAAAATGGGCAAGTGTGTGGACTCTTCATCAAAGATAAAGTAGATGGCAACAGACACATAAAAAGAACCTATACTCCAAACAGTGGTGTCTCACATCTTTAATCCTAGCACTCTGGGTGGGGAGGGTGGCGGGAAGA